CCTGAAGACACTCCAATTGATGGTAGTAGACTCTAATTTGACCCAAAGGTCAGATCTGGAGCTTTTGATGACTATCACTGTATTGATATTTAGTTTCCAGGAATCACAATTCTTTTGGCTATTAATCCCAATAACATGTCTGTCACAGTGAAAACAATTTTTCATTCTTCATTATAGTTATTTTTTAACATTTTTCAGATAGGTTTTTTTTCCATCTGAAAAAAGTGATGTTTGTGGATCTACAAATGCATTAAATCTTTGTTTAAAATCCAAACCATGTCTTTAAAATATCTCCATTTTCAGCCAAAACAGGCAGAGACATGAACCAGCTGAGCCTTTCTTGTTCACTCAGTGCTACCAGCCTTGTGGCCTCTCACTTGTACAAATCCCTACACAGACAATGCATTTCCAGAACGCAGTTTCTTGCCAGCTGGAATCAGAACTTCAAGGTAGAATTTTATTGTCATGGCTTGTTTGTAAATGCACTTCATAAGCCAGAATCAAAGATCTGCCTCAAAGTTAAAACTAGAAAGCAGCCTAAAAGTGCTACTTTGTGGCCCCAGGCCACATGCAAAGTTATCTGCTACAAGAGAACAATTCATCCAGGAAAAGAAGGAACCTCTGGAATTTTACTTTCAATTTAAGAAAAAAGACACTCCATCTAGCTTGATATTTAGTATGTGCCCTAAACAAGGGGCAAATGTCTTTCTGTTAGCTTAGGCATTAGCTGAAGCATTTTAGATATTACAAATCAAAGAAACTGTTCATTTAAAAAGAAACCCATAATGATTCTCTACTTTTATTAAGTAGAACTTTGCAAACTGTGTTGCTTCAAGCTCACTAGGTGGCAATTGAATGTTTTTGCTGTTTCGTGTGTGTTCGTGTGTCTTGAATCTTGTTTCTTATTTCATATTTTTCTGAAAGAAATGCACCAGTTAAAATGAATTTGTGCTTGAAACACTATGAAACAACAAAGGAATTTTGCTTTTATGCCTAAGAATGACTTGTCTTTATAGATCTGAGAGTGCAGACTGTTGCAGAATGTGTGCAAAGCATATTTGAGAAAGCAATTCCAAAATCTTTCTCAGGGTGTCAGAACAAAACACATTAGTCTTTTCAAAAATACAAAATAAAATATACTGGTTAATTATGTAAGTGTCCCTGCAATGCAATGGATTTATTTCAAGAATTAAAAGACATAGTTGTAGTATTCCTTTTGAAGGGCTGATTTTGCTGAAGCTTGAGAAAAATAAAGCCTTAGTGTTAGTGCTGCTCTGTTAACCATCAGTGTTTCAGCATAAGGATTAAAGTAAAAGTCCAGAACTCAGCCTGTCACAATTGTTTCTTATTTTAGGGAAGTGGGATTGTTTAGTCTAAGCAGAGAAAGGACTTTAATTCTTTGAAGTATACAGGGATGGAAAGCTGCAGAGCTGTACTCAGGTCAGTTTGATCTAGTTTGACAAAGGTGAGAGTTAAAAAGCTCTCTATAGAAAGCTCTATCACCAGGCATCCTTTTTCTGATAATGGGATCTCTTTTGCCTGTAGTACTACTCAGTTCTTCTCTCTTCTTCCCAAGTCCATATACACTGAGCACTAAAAGCCACATCCTTGTCACTGCTGGCTCTTGGCCACTCACCTTCCCTTGGTCCCGCCACTAGAACCCTTTGCTTTGACGCTTTAACCTTGCACAGCTGCAAAACAGCATTACGTCTATCACAGCTACAGCAATTTACAGAGAACACAGCATTTACCTACTCCATCAAGTGCTGTTCATACTATTTCAAGGACTAAACAGTGATGAAAGCAAGTTGATCTCCAGCTTTTTCCAAAGCACTAGGAACAGAAGCTGAACACTGAAGATAGGCTGATGATCTGCAACAGTCGCCACTGATTTTGATTTAGCAAAGTGCTATTGCAACAATGCTTCAATTGTTGCAAAATGCTATTCCAACAAGGAGGCCAAAACTCCAAGTCATGGCTATTGTAACTCAGTGCTTGTTCAGAAAAATCCCACTGGACTCTTTTGCTCAAACATTTTGGATTGTATCAACAGGAATCCGAACCTGACAAGCTTGAATAGTCAAAGTGTTGTGGACAGAACAGCTGAGAAAAGAGTTTTTAGATCTGGTCTAAAATCCTGAGGATGCAAAACTGAGGTAGGAAAAAGCAACCAACCAACCAAACCGAGGAAAGTTGTACTGACTGCTGTGGAATCCTGTGCTATGGTATACTACATTTCACTGTGAACCTGCATTTTATCTTTACAGGGAATACTGTAATAAAATCATCCCTCTCCCAGCCCACTCTGATCTCCCTTTAGAAAGATGTGCTCTCTTTGAATAACTCAAATATCATGCATGGGTAACTCTATGCACTTGCTGCAATGTTTCATGTAGTAAGTGTTGTCTTAAAAGATGCAATTGCTAAAAAGTGGTCATGACTACTTCAAGTCATGTATTTTTTTCCTCTCCACCAGTCAAAATAAAGGATGTAATAAATAAAACAGTGGAAGGAGGCCAAAAAGGTATTTGTCTTCATATTATTTTGTGGCTTACCGCATCATACTGAAGATCTCTGCATTATACAGCATTGAATGTTATATGAATCTGCCTGCTAACATAGAGTGGTGCCTTTCTTTTCCAGAAGTGGATGAAGAAAGTAAACACTCTCTTTTAATTACAGATTAAGATGGGAAGTGGTTATGTGTATGAGAAAATTAAACCACCATATATTTTATCTATGTCAATCCGTCACATTAAAAGGAAGTACAAAAGGTCTCCTTAATCTCAACATGATGCCTCTCAAACACGCTTTGTCAGCACTGCTTATCTTTTTGACTTCATAAAACTTACAGGTATTAGGAATTAATCACCATCTAGTTTTTTGCTCATATCAGGTTTTCAAACCCTGTCCCATTATCTTCTCCCAGGCATTTTTCAGCTTTCCCCCATTCCTGCACTTGGTACACGTGAAATTTAAAATCTAGATCACAGTAGATCTCTCATCAAGGGCCCTGAGAAACACAAAGCATACATACTAAGCATACATAAGTTTAGAATAGGTCTGTAAACCAAGTCCTTACAGCTGTAGTGGGCTGACAAATGCCTGCCTGTACTTATTGATGTAGCTCCTTAACTAATCTAGAAAACTAGGAAGTTTGAAGACTAATGGAATAATGGAACAGAGGCTGCAAGAATAAAACACCATCTGTTTGACTGGAGCATGATCTAGGATGCACTAAATATATTTGCAAGGTAAACTGTTAGTCAATCAATCAATGCCAGTTCTGGGATAGCCTTCTACTTTTCTCCTCTGCTTTCAAATATAATACCTATTTCTAAAGCATTTAGAAAAATGGGAAATATTTTCTATTCCATTCTCTTCACAACCTTTCACCTCAGCTTCTCCAGTTCTCTCAAGAGAAAGCAGTTGATGTGCTGGTTGTGGTAGTAGTCTGCTTATGATTTTCCTTACGTCTCTTAATGCACCTTTCTCACTTTAGATCATGGCTTTTGTGGCAACACGTCTTGCAAATACTGACACAGCACCGATAACCATAAAGATAATAACTCTAAAGATTAAATGGCTATTAGACACAACCTTCAAAGCAAATCACATCTGATCTTGTTGCCTTGTTTCTGTTCTGGTTTTTCTTTTGTTTCAGAGAGAACAGAGTTGCTACTTCCTTCCCTGCTCTTCTGAAAAGTATTTTTCACACATAAAGATTGTGTTTGTGCAATTTCACCCAAGAGACACCAAATAGCTAAAGTTAAAAGTGAATAATAAAATAAATTAAAAGGGCTATGCATTTTTGAAAGCATCATTTCAACATAATCAAGCATTTAAAAGAAAGATCAATTTTACTTCACTTTCAGAAACGTTGAAACAGTGATTCAAAGAAGACACAACACTTTGCAAACAACAGAACTGCACCAAAGGCTGGAGTCCTGTTACATGGCACTAGAGGTTCATTATGAAGGTGATAAGTTGTTCATCCCCAGCCCAACAAAGTACTCATGATTGTGTTTACCCTTATGTTCAATGAAGACTGCAGACAACCAAGCAGAAGGCAAAAAATCCTGCTCACAAACAAAAACCATACATGCATCACATTGGAAGGAAGCAGACATTTTCTGAAGTTATGTTGGGGGGTAAAAAAGGCAAAAAAAAAAAACAAACCAACAACCAAGACAAAAAAAAGACAAAAGCAAGGGAAATATTACTTTGAAAAAAACACCTCCTTTTGTGGTGGCTTGAGAGATTCATGGCTTGAAAGACTCATCTCTAATTCAGAAACCTACAGTGCAAGTCCCTAGTCTGATTCTGCAGATTTTCTCTTTCATGCAGTCACTACAGCATTAATCTTTTCCTCTTGAGATTTTGGCTAAGATTTTCCTCAGGTCCTGAGGAAACTTTCCTGCCAAAACTTACAAACTTGCTGATAATTCCTAAATAAAATCACAAGGCTCTCCAATATCTGACTGCAGTAGAGATTACTCACATTAAGATGTTTCAGAGAAAACACATTTTAAGTGGGCTTCTCTTGGGTATAAATCACTCTATTCAACAGTCTCTCAATCTCCAAGCTCCAAATTAGTCATCACACTGTTATATATAAATAAATTATATGCAATATTTAAGTGATATTTGTGATCACAGCAAAATTAAGGATAGCTCCATCTTCCCAAATAAACATTTTCAGTAAACAGCTTACTTGATAGCTGATGCAATTATGTCATTTGGCTGTAGCAAATCCTCAATGCATACACGTTTCACGTATAAACAGACCTTACTACAAAATCAAGATTTCAAAGGAAAGGCCATTAACTACAATAAAACACCTTTTTCTAGAATGGACATGTACATCATAGTGGCATTTTTCTGATTTAATTATTAATCAAATAATCTAATTCTACATTCTAATCTACCATCTCAAGTTATGGAACCTATAAGAACTGTAAAGTTTGACTTAAATAAGTGTCTGTAGTAGTGGTACTTACAGTAAAAATTATGTCTTGCTTGTGGGTTCCTCATTTGGTGATGTAATAGTCAGAAGTCACCATGCTTTTGTTCTAAGATCAAGCATCTCCTTTACTGCTGTTTTTAAGGAGTCTTCCGAGCAAGTCATTTCGTCAGGACATATTCTCTTCTGCAGCACATGTGTGTTCTCTCTCTGTGTTTCCTGCCCAAAATACTCAATGTACACATAAAAATAAACTGGTAAGTTATTTATGATACATGGCATTTATGTAATGTTTTACATTTTCATAGTACTTTACACAAAGGGCAGTTGACTGAACAGGTTAAGAAGCACTTAGAAACTGGAACCAAAATTGCCTCAAGTCCCTTAAAAGTTTGAATAATTCTATGTCAAATGTCCCAGAAGATTTTGAAAGACCAGAACCTCTTTACTATAAAGTAATAGACAAAAATCAGTGTTTCTACTAATTCTTCCTTTTTTAAGCATCACTCACGTAAAACATACATATTCAGCATGTAGTTTAATTGCTGCTGACAGATCCCCAGTATGGTTTAGTCAGGTGTGCCTCAAAGTATAAAATTTGCTCCACTGTTTAAAGGAGGAAGGTTTACATTGCAACTATTCCTTTTTTAATTTGTGAGCTTCCCAAGTAGCAGTCACAATCCAGGCTTTTAAGCATCTTCACTCAACTGTATCAAGAGTTACTGGTCAGGACAAAAAAGAAGGGAATAAAATACTCTCTAGAGTTTGATCTTATTTTCTGTAACTTTCACTCTTCCTCCCCATGGTCCACAGCATTATGATTATCCCAATTCTAAATGTTGACAAAGGATCCTGATTTATTCAGTTCCCTACCTTCAGCTGCACTCAGATTTGCCAAGTTCAGCTGTCAGTAATTTGAGGCTTATGCACTGCATTTATACTGACTCCTTAAAAAAATAATATGACATAGCTATTCCATATTCCACACAATCATGTAGGAATTTGACACAGAAAAACTGGTCTGTTAGTTGTAATTGTTGCAACAGTCACCTAACAAAGTAGACAAAGAATACTATTTGTATGGCAATCATATAACCCTAAATTTCTGACATATCATTTTAAATATTTGAAGATATGGCAAGGGGTTAAGAGAATGAATGTAACTATCTCTTTCTGTATTAAATATTCTGTAAACCACTTGTAAATATATGCAACCTTCCAGAAAAAGAAGATTAGGCTGGACAAAGCCTTGGGTGACATGGTCTAGTGTGAGGTGTCCCTGCCTGTGGCAGGGGGCTGGAACTGGATGATCTTTAGATCCTTTCCAAGCCAAACCGTTATGTGATTCTATGATTATTGTCAGTAAAAGAAAGTCTGGCTTGACCCTCGAAACTTTAACTTGTAGCCAAGCAGTTGTGCATGCTTGCTTCCCAATCCACTGCTTACAACCCCAATTCTTGTATGGCCAATAGATGAACACCTCTACATAAAGAGGAAATGATCTGAAAAACCTGTTCCTGAAGGTTGTGCTACAGAAAACTCCTTCCCACTCCTATTCAGTTATATTAAGTATTCACATACCTAACTTTCAAAGCTTGACACCAGGAGCTCTAAGACAATATTTTGCTTAAAGCCCTGATTCTGATTTCGGGCAAATATTTTGGGGCACCACATGGTTTTCTTTGAGTTCTTGAGTTGCTGTTTGCATTGAAGAGCTGGAAATACGAGTTGTAGTTGACAAACACCACATAAAATAAGATCATAGTAGTATTTTTTTATTCATTTTATAACTTTATACTTACCAACAGCCTGACAGCCATGATGAAGATGTAAGTGCAAATTAGAGGAAAATCTGCCTTGCAGCAAGGCTTAGTTAAGTATTGTTTGTTAATAAGTCACTAGTGCAAGGTGTTCTTTAAATTAGAGTATGTTCTATCTTTTTGTGCATTTTAAGCACAGGACCCCAGCTATTCAGTAAGCAACTGCTTACAGTAAGAATTCTGATGGACAATGCTCCTCTGTTCCCATTTAACTTGAAGTGACACAGCTCTTTGATCCAGTTTTCTGTCTCTCTGGGAAAACAAACATGTAAATGCTGCCACCAAAGAACCAAGAAAAATCAATCACAAAGAAAACCAAGCCCCAGGAGTTTCAGGTCAAAACCGAGTAAGAAGTTCTAGGAACTAAAAGAAGCATCAAAGACAGTAAAAGCAGCCTGACACTGTGTGCTGAAAACTTATGTTATCAAGAGAGATTTTCCACACTGCTTCACTTGCTTGGCTTTTTTTTTTTACAGGCAAAACATTTTCCTGGTGTGCATTTCTACAGAAATGCTTTCAGATTATCAGTTTTCTTTATTTAGGCCATTTTTGATCATTTTTGATCATTACACCAGCACACAAATAGCCTGTTCTCATTTCTGTAAGTTGTGTGACTCGTTTCTGTGAGCAACTGACACAACTCTCTACATCTAGTGTGCCTGAACTTGAGTTTTAGCAACATTTGGGAATGTATGAAATTAGTTCCCTTAATAGGAGTCCGTTAATGAAAATCTTTGAGTGTAAATCCAGAGTGGGGAAAGAGTCTGACGCTATGAAGCAGAGTCTATTTCGCAGGTTTTCTTGGAATTCTTAGGGGAATGGGAACTCTGCTGAGCTGTCCCCTGAGAATCAAATGTTCCATCTCTGTCAGTGTTCAAGGCCAGACTGGACAGCCTTGGGTGACATGGTCTAGTGTGAGGTATTCCTGTCCGTGGCAGGGGGTTGGAACTTAAGGCCCTTTCCAGCCCTGACTATTCTATGATTCTATGAGATATCTTGTGCAGCATATCCTGGAGACATTCGTCATCTTCTTAGTCTTTTCTCTTCAACCCTGTACTCAAAAATGTTTTGTTAGGGTTGCGTTAGTCCCTGCTGTAGAACACAGTTACATCAGATGGCTCAGAAGACCTTCATCTCAGGGCAATTTTAGATTAAAAAAAAAAAAAAAGATAATAATTAGTTCCATAAGTTTATCTGCTTTATGAAATTGGGCATATTTGTTGCTCTAATTCCATATTTTGTCCATTTATCTGTAGTTTTCCTCCTCCGTTGACTACAGTTTGCAGTTCTGAATATATTCTCAAAAAAGCATGAATTATTCATTTCAACAGAGTTCAAGGATATTCTTAAACTCTCAAAATTACTTTACCTATTTCTCCATTTCCATCAAAAATTTCAGGAATCAATTTTAAGTTTCTCTTCTTAATGGAATTTTAGGACATGAAAATAGTCAGTTTTGACTGATGTACCACAAATGCATCTCTCACTCACATACAATGAATATGCATAGCAATCTATGCTTTTGAGCACAGTAGCATTATATGCCTAACCTTGGAATAAACCCCAGAAGCACTTTCCCTAATGTACCAGAGAAAGTTTTACTTGGTTAGATACACTAGCTGATAGAAGACAACACAAGAGCACATGCAAAGTTTCAAATGCCTTTTTGGTGTTCTACCATCAGACAGAAACCTGTTGACATTTTGCAACAAATAAAACAAATTACTCAAATTGCTGTTCTCTGAAGGAGGTAATAAAAGACCTTCCTGTTTACAAAGTTCAACAGAGTTCAGATGCTTGTCTCACACCTAAGGCATGGAAAGATACCAAACAGACAAGCAGGAAACACTTGCTTGTCGCAAGACAATTAATAACAGCCAGTTACTATAAATGACAGGCAAAGACATCCACTTCCTTATGTGAAGTAACTGGCTTCTATTCCCAGTATCTGAGAAAACGGGCCGATTTCAAACATGGCCCAGGATCAAAGCCACTGCCCAGGGCTGCATGTGCCCGAGGAGCAGGGGATGGTTGCCCATGCAGGCTGCAAGCTCCTGCAGCCTCAGTACACAGGCACATGGTGAAGTTCTCACTCAAAGTTTCATTACATTAACACACTTAGTCCATCCAGAGGGGACAAAACAAAACATAGCAAAAAAAACCCAACCCAAACCAAGAAAATCAGTTCTCAGCATCTTCTTAAAGCCTCTCCCATTCACGCCTCAAGTGAGATGATGTCCTTTCGCAGAATCAGACAGATGAGTTTCAGGAATAGTTGGAGTTAATTTTAACTAAACTGTCTGACATTGTCCTGAAACAATGAGGATTGCTCACACGCTGCCTTACAGTTGATGAGCTTTTAGTAAGCCGTTGTTTGCTGCCTGTTATCATTTATCGCATCAGGCACAATGCCTGACAATAGTCCTATGAGTAGGTTGTAAACCTGTTAATGCATGAAGTGTAGAGGCAAATGCAGCATTTCAGCAAACAAGCCCCAAATAAGCTTGGGTAAATAAAGCAATGCACTCTTTCACTGAATCTGTGGCTGTCTTTATTTAAACACTGAGTGTTTTCCTTATATAGATTAAGACATGAACTTGTGAAGATGTAACTTTCCTAAACATGTAAAGTTTTATACAACCACACCAGATACGGCATTTATAGAGAAAAAGAGAAAAGTGTGCAACTGAAAGGTTGTTATGCCATTAACAAAATATGCAAATTAAGTATTTAGGGCCTGGGGCTACATGGCCTAGTGTGAGGTGTCCCTGCCCATAGCATGGAGTTGGAACTAGATGATCTTAAGGTCCTTTTCAACCCCAGCCATTCCATGATTCATGATTCCATGAAAATCTCATCAGGTCAATTCCTTTTGAAATCAATGGCAAAACAGCACTTTGGAAAATGCCCACATACAACTCTTCAGAGACAAAAATATAAACTATTTTTCTAAATAAATATCTGTCTCCTTTCAAAGACATATGAATCCCACCTAGCCCATTCTCTGTATTCTTTACAGGTTCCATAATACCCCTCTATTGAAGCCCATGTTATGTAACTGAGGTAATATTGACTCTAATCTATTCTACAAATACTTGGGCAAAAAAATAAGTTACTATCAGGGATGAAACTGCTCCTGCTCTATATCTCAGTCCCTGACTTACAGCAATCACAGAAAAATCATGCAATGCCTACAAGATGCTGACACTGCTGGAAGGTGAAACTTTGAATGCAAGAACGTTCAACATCATCACACAGAAGCACCACTGATTCCAGGTGTCATTAAACTATTTCAGATGGTTATTTTGTTTTCATCTAAGAAATAGGAAACATGGGAATTGAACTATGGATTTGAGATGCAAAATTATATTTTTGAAGGCACAGACATCTATGTTGACACAAAAAGTATTGTTACACAATAGGAACATCACACCACACTGCCACACAACCACAGTGAAAGTAAAATGCGATCAACTCAAAACTGAGAGAAAAATGCTGTTTTGACAAGCATTTGCAAGATCAGAATCAACTTAGGCATTTACATAACTGTTTTTTACATAGAATTACATACAGAATTATGTACTTTTTATAAAAATATTAAAGAAATAAAATAATTCATAGAAATTAATAAAAGTTCTCTTTGCTAACATTTAAGATGAGGACTCTCATTACAAGTGTGAGAAGGCAATAACAAAGGCAGAAAGGATAAGAAGCAAAATGAAGGAACCAAGAGTAGATCACAGAATCATAGAATGGTTTGGGTTGAAAAGGACCTTAAGACCATTTAGTTCCAACCCCATGTTATGGCAGGGACTCCACACAAAGCTCTGTCCAGCCTGACCTTGAACACTGCCAGGGATGGAACATTCACCACTTCTCTGGGCAGCCTGTGCCAGTGCCTCATTACCCTCACAGCAAAGAACTTCTTTATATCGAACCTGAACTTCCCCTGTTTC